TTTTAAAGATAAATACAAAGCTTCATTTCTTTTTAATTAATTAATTTATTATTTTTTTAGATTTCATTTTTTAAAACTTACATCAGAAACACAGGAAGACTGACAAGCAACAATAAAATGCAGTAACATTAAAACTGATGTTGTGTATTAATTTTTACTCTAATCTTTTTTAATTTCTGTATATTTTAAATTCTGCTTTCAGCCGGTATAGTGGTTAGTGACCCTGACTGCCGTAGCGATAGGCCCGGGTTCGAGTCCCAGAGACGGGCTAGCTGCACGGGCGTTTTCGTGGTTTTCCCCATGTGTAACGTGTATACGAGCCAGTTTCCCTTAGAAAGCCCTCCACGAAGGCATTCCTCCCATTAGGTAGATAGCCCTCGAGGCTTTGCCATAATCACACACTCGAATCCCAGAGAAGGCACGGTTGTAAATGTTCGTCCTTTCATAGGAGGCAACGGATGGGCACCTGTTAGGTGCTTCTATAATGAAATGGCCACCACTCCCGGCCCTTGTAAAGGCGTAAGATAGATGACTATTTAATAAAGCACCCGGCTATTAAAAAAAATATTTTAAACCAGGGATCAGCAACCTTTTTTTACTAGGGCATATTTCAGAAATGCGGGAGTTAGGTGGGAATCATAGCCATCGTTGGCAGGCAGTGTAGTGAAGAAATATGGTTCTCCACACTGCATTTCTTAGCAATCGCTACAGTTAAATTGCATAATAAGCACATACTTTTTTCATAATAAATGAAACAAAATTATTCTTCCCACTCAACATTAAAATTATTTCTCTTCTGTTTCTTATTTCTTTTTTCCAATGGTGCAATTCTTCTTTCAATACAATAAAGTTCATGAAATAATAGGTTTATGTACCTATAAACCTATAGGTATAGGTTTTGTATGCTATGTTCTAATTAATTCGTGAAATAATAGGTTTATGTACTAACATGTAATGCGATGCAAAGATGTACGCCGTGATTGGACATAGTATACGAGGATAATGGGCATTGAAAATAGTTCACTGTATTACGGAATCAGATGTTTGTAGCAGTTGAAAATTAATTCTTCTAGTCATATAGTGATATCTAGATATCGCTAACTTTTAGTTTTTGTCAAACGTTTAATTTTACTGTTCGTACAATCGTTAAAGAATCGCAGATAAAAAAAAAAGAATTCTTACTAACATTATTCCTTACAACTATAACTCTTTGTTGGTCAAATACCTAAAATTTAGAATTTGGATATTTGAATGGTGTTACTTTTAAAACGTTTCGCGGGCATCAAGATGCTTATCCCTGTTTTAAACCTTTAAAAAGATATGAAAAACTGAACTTCAATACCTGAAGTAATATTAGAAACTATGTCGATCAATAATCATAAGCTTGAAACAAAATTCCAAATTACCCGAGATATAATTTTGCAAATCAAAATGAGAATATATATGGCTATTCCCTTTCATTTAGTCCCAAGTTAAAAACAATAAAAAAATTTTCTCATTTTTGCATATTTGTGTATTTTTACATACTATACAATCTCATTTTTAAATTATGGCCCACCAGCGGCCGAGCGGTAAAGTCGCTGAACACTGGTAGTTCCGTCCGAGGTTCGAATCCTGCGAACGGGCTGGCTGCATGAGCGTTTTCGTGGTTTTCCCCATGTGTAACGTGTATACGAGCCATTTTTCCTTAGAAAGTCCTCCACGAAGGCATCCCTCCCTTTAGGCAGATAGCCCTCGAGGCTTTGCCATAATCACACACACACATTATTATTTTATGCGAATAAGGAATATTGATAGTTTCTTTCCCAATAAATTGAAAATCTGCTTAAGATAATAATTAGATCAAATATATCGGTCTAAGCATGATAGAAATATAATTTTTTAAAGAACTTTGAAGAGATTTACTAAAGAAAGATAACATAATTCTTAAGCAATAGTTTAATTTTTATCATCAATTCTTAACAAAAAGTTTAAATTTCAGGAGCATATACTTAACTTCAGTGTTTCTCTGGTCCATAATTTGAAGTTTGGAAATAATTCTGCCCTTTTTTAGAATTCGAAGGTCATTACTAAAAAATATCTAAATTTACGAAAGTTTTTTAGATTATATTTAATATTAAAATATAACTAATATAAAGCTTGATGAAATTTAAAATTTTATATTTGAAAGATTTAACTATAAGTTTTTTCTTTCCTCTAGAAAATTATTTAGGATATATATTTTCATTCACAGAAATGAAGATCAATATTGATTCAAGAATAAATGAATGGAAAGGAAAAGCATATTACATGATTATAAATAAACTGAAATTTACTTTTTACAGCATTTACTCACCTTTTATCCTTTTCAACCCACCGTATGAAGAATTTTCTCATATTGCATTTGTTTCACGATTGATTTAATTTTTACAAACATATTTATTACTTATTATTTAATATATTACTTTTCTACTTATAATTTGTTTTATACCATTTAATATTATATATTTTATTAGTCCAAAGGACTATTGTTTTCGTTTTTCGATTTTGCATTGAAAACTTTAAATAGCTCTATCACTTTTCAAATCGTTGCCACCAAATACTATCGCCCTGTATTATAGTTGAAGATATTAAATAATGAAGAATCTGCATAAATGTACGTATGTTTCTCGCATTATGATAAAACAAGGGGACCTAGAGCCATCCAATTTTGAATGACGTAATCCTACGCTAATATGGGCATCTGAAAGCCCAAATTTGAATTTCGTTTTATTATCGATTTCATATTTTGTAAACTTTAACGAATTTTACATTAACAAACTCGACGATTTAAAAGAGAGCAATAGCAACATTCTACGAGAAAAAAAAAAAAAAAAAAAAAAAAATCTGATGACTTCGTTGTGAAAATCTGATGACACCACATGACTTCGTTGTATTGGAATATTGAATTGGAATATTAAATTATACGTATTTTTTCTTGCATTTCATTTAAACTTATTGGATTGAATTAAATCTACTTCGCCGACACCGCATAAACCACAATAGAATAAATGCATTCTTTAAAATTCACTCTATTATTTGTTTACCATAGCGACACTCTGGAGCTAGATTCACTTAACTGTAATATAATCGTTAATACTGTTAACTTATATATAACGGAAACTAAGTTAACTGTTGTATAATCCAATAATTATATAACAGTTAACGTATATATTTCGTTCATATTATAACTCGTAATGCAAAAAATTTATATCATTTAAAGAATAGAATTATCTAATCGTTGCTACATGTTCTATTCAAATACTATAATAAAGCTAGAATGATGTATAAAAGAAATTAAGCAAACAAAACAAAAAAGGAAACGGTTTTTCACAGACGATTGAGTATTTCTCATTTAATTAATTCAGTTCTCACTTCGCGAGAAGGCAAAAATACATAAAAACTCAAAATATCTATATTAAAAATTACGAAGTAAATCTCAAACACTTATTTCCTCAAAAAAATTCCAGAAAGAATTAAGCATGATTTAATTGGCAATAATAAATGAATGCGTTATCTTTGTTGTTGCGAAGCTAAGTTTCTCTAGATTGGCAACAAATCCACTAGTCTCCTGTTTCAAATGTAAACATCAATGGCCGCCATTAAAACAGGCTTAGCGGCAATTAAACAACTTTAAAATTCCTGATAATTCTAAAAATATTGCACACAGATTTACTAAAGGCATAAAATTCTTAACCGGAAGATAAAAACAACATAATTCAATCATTTTTAAAACAAAAAATGTACAATTTACAAACATATAAGAATAAAGAAACTGAGATCACTGAGCCGGGTAACAGAGTGGATGTATATATAAATATATTTATATACATTTGGGTGCGGCCGATTGCAACCAAAATACGAGGGGCACATCTACATGTTATAGCAGTCCTATATACAAAATTTCAACATTCTGAGGCTACTCGTTTTTGAGTTATGCGAGATACGTACGTACATACGTTCGTACAGACGCCACGAAAAATTCTCTTCAGAATTAATTTTAAAACAGTTTTATAATTTTTTTGGAGGAAACGAGTCTTTTATTCTGTCCTTACGTACAGATATCACGCAAAAACATCGTTAAATTGCATTCGATAGCGGTCAAAATGGATATTTTCGTTGAAATATGCTGCCTGAAACTTTTCGCGATTACAATACTTCCTTTTTACTTCGTACAAGGAAGTAAAAACACAACTTTTTTGTCTACAGCAGCGCAGAATTGTGTATTGGAAATTCTAAAGATATGCTCATTTTAAAATTATTTTGCGAAAAATTATTTTTTCTGTTAAACTGAATTTTATGGTTTAAGTGCAAAGAACATGATGTCTAATAAATAAAAGTAACACACAAAACGTTAAAAAACGCCCCTTTGGACGTAATTTAAAATCTGTAACCTTTCAAATTTTTTAAAAGTTTTTTTAATTTTAATGCCACGTAATTTAGTGTTTGAATTATAATTATTTTGTTTACGTTAATTTTTTATTTTATCGTTCCTAATGGCATGGCATAGGGATCCGGCACCTCTGATTTTAGAAATTAAGCTCTGGAGACTGTGGCAATTTCGGTGGTACCAAATCCACCGAAATTGCCACAGTCCCTTTCTTTTTTCTTAAGAAATGTTTTTGCTGATCGTCAATAAAACTAATCTTTCCAATCTAGACTTTTGAGATGGCACGTTTAGATAATGATTCGAATGTTCGAATTTCATATCTCACCATTTTTTGAATTCGAATGTCCCATCCCTATTTTCACTGTTTGCGGTACTTATCTTCTGCGCTGCTAGTATTTGGAAAAAATTTCAGTGGTGCAACCAGAAACTGCTTCTTGGGTTAAATTATTACACACACACACAAGTCGCCAAGTAAAAAGAAAAATTTTAGTCCTGGCAGACGTTCAGAGGAAAGGGAGCTCTATAGCAATTTTCATTGGTTAATATTGAATACGAAGTTGCTGAACTCACTGTATTCGATAAGCCTCAGCTGCATCACTGCGCCAACGCGTGTGGCTACAAGCGATTGTACCTCGCGCGCACTGCAGGGTGACGTCACAAAACGAGTTGTTCGTGTAGCTGTGAGTTGCCGGTTAGATATCTGAAGCGTCTGGTCAGCACCTCAACGAACGAGCTCAGAAGGTAAGTGGAATTATAGCAGCTCGCAGCTGTTCGCTACCATTTTTCTGTTTAATATTACACCAATGCTGTAAACGTGCTCGCATGACTTGCCGAAGTTCTCCGTGATAGGCAGACTGAAATATGAGGAACTGCAGCATAGGAGAAAAAGGGCGTGTACCGCATGAGCCCCCTAGTAAAAATGCTAATATTTTTCTAAACGTGTTGTTCTTTGTCGGTTTATTCGTATTATAAGTGTATTCTCTCTGATGTATCTTAGTGCTTAAAAAAGGAATTATCGATGATAATTTTACCTATTTGCTTCAAAGTGCATTATTAGATCATATTATCTTAACAGAAGTTATGTTAACTACTTTTTAGTGTTGTATGTAGTCCAAGTTATTTAGTTTTAAGTATTAATTTCCACTTAAAAAATATGTATATCTTGAAATCAAGTTAAAAGAAATATTACAGTTGTATTATATGTTGTTGGTTTGATCAATTTTTTAAGTTCATAGGGATTTCCAATAAATGTTTTTTATGTATTTATAAAGTAATAAATTTGTGTTGAGTAATTGTCGAAGAAAACTGCCTCGCTGAGCTATTTGGCACTATTAATAATATGTGACATAAGAAAAACAGTCATGATCAGGTAGTTCAGATGTTATTTTAAAACACAATACATTTTAAAACATTTTCCTTAATTCATATAAAATTTCTAGTTCCTCGAGCATTCAGAACAAAAGGAACAGGTTTAGTTAAGATGCTTATTCAGCCCAGCAAGAAATGAGTACAGTAAAAATTATTCAGCAGCAGGTATATGACCCCCCTCTATTTCTTTTTTCCCGCCGTATTTGCGAATACTGGTGGGGCGATTTGCGGCACCAGTTATACTTGCACGCTTGAATGCCCGTGGAGAAAAATAGTTGAAATCCATCAGCTGAAATGTCAGGTCGTCATTTCCGAAATTAATATTGATGTATTATGTATATGTAATTGAAGTGTTAAAATCCACTAAAGAATGTATATCAAAGTTCAAGTACAAGAACTTAAAAATTTTCTAATTTTAATATTTTACATGAGAAGTATCGTTTATGAATCTTACAATGTGTGTATGAAGATTTTTCTGATATATGTTCACGGATTAAAGACATAAATATTAAGACAGAAAAACTGTTGAATAAAAGATAAATATGCTGAATTCCTGAACAAAACACACAGCGTTGTACATTACATTAATGTCGTGAAAATTCTCTTCAAATGAAAAAGTTAAAAAATCTGTAGGCCGCCAAAAATATTCGGAAAATGTTCATTAGAACTCAAGTCTTCATCGTTAAGTTACACACCATTAATGCATCGAGAAACGTGAAATTATTGCTTCAGAAGTATTTTTTCCTTCCTTGATATATAGGCATATTCGTTATAACTGCAGAAAATTATAAGAATTCTGAGCACATTTCAGAGGATTGATAAATATTCTCTTTCCACAAAATAAAATTTATTCTATTAATTTTTATAATTATTTCTTTGTGTACGGTGCTTTAGTAGTAGCCGACCTATTAAATCCGTTGAGCTCTGGTAATTCATCCTGAGTTCAATCCCGGCGGCAGGGCGGATCAATTACGTCTCATTTCGCCGTTTATTAGTATGAATTACTTTTATAATTTTTCCATAACTATCGAATTATAATTTTCTGTATGAAGTCTTGTAATAATTATTTTTGGTGGTAATTGAAGTGTCTCTGGTATTCTCATCAACGAACACTGCTAACTGCGTGCACTTTGCTGGACCTCTTAATCATTAACTTGCAAATTATTATTACTGCCATCATGACGAAATCGATGAATAAACTTTAATTTGAAAAACATTTGCAGACTCCCTGAATTTTAACTCGGATCTCCAGGGGTCCGCCGATCGCAGTTTAAAAATCTTGCCTTAACCCGTAAGGTTTCGCTATCAATCTGGATAGTCGCTTCAATGATTTTTAAAGATGTTTTTACACGCATTGTGAAAATTTGTTTTAAAATGACCGAGATGCAGGTTCTGATATCATCTGATTAAACCGTAAAAAATCTCTTGTTATCGTAACCAGAGGTCAGTCGTAGAAATCATAACTTCTGGATTTTTTTTTTTTTTTTTTTTTTCATCTTGGCGGACGGCCAAACTTTCGGAGGAATATACAGCAAAAAGAACGCGGAAGATTATCTCGAAGAAATTATTCAGATGAGTTTTTTTTTTTTTTTTTTTTTTTTATCCTTTTGTATTTGGGTGCCTCCGATGAACATCTGAAACAAGGCATAAATTCTCGAGATCGAGCTTGTTCAGGTTATCAATGTTAGGAATGAATGGACCAATCCCGAATATGTGGATCACGAAGCCCGAATTTTGATTTTTTTTTATTTAATTCGTATTCAGGGCGAATTCAAGGAACTTTAGATTAAGAACTCAGCGATATAAAACTTGTCACTCCGCTAAGCACTTGTATTGCCATTCCGAAGAGCGTATGATATTTATTTATGTTTCAAGTTTAATCAGAAATTCAGTGATGTAGAAGAAATGTGTGTCCGCTGCCCAAAATATTTTTATCTTCCATGCACCAATACGTTGTGAGTTGAAAAAACGTAAGATATTTAAATATTCTTTCAAATTTAATTTCTCTGTTATTGAAATAAATCTTGTTTTAAAACAAAGAAAGGGAAGGGGTTAAATCTTTCTTTGGGAGATTTCGGTTGAGCGGATCAAACCGCTGAATATTGGTAGTTCGATCCAGACTCAAATCAATCCCAACCATGGTTCATAGTAAGAATGGTTTCATGCGTAATATGAATACGAGACAATTTTCCGTAGAAAAACTTCCACGAAGGCATTTTCCCTAGGCAAATAGCCGCAGTGTGCTTTGCCATAATCTAATAAAATCGCAGGAAAATAAAAAATGAGTTTCTTACTTATTCCTTAAAACTTCCTGCGTTCCACAGCTCGAGAACAGATTATCTAGATTTATTGGATAAGTATTTTATTAATGATATGTACTTTAATAACTACTATTTGAATATTATATTTCAGCGGTAATGCGTTTAGAAAAACATTGAATTAAAATTCCCGATTATGATAAAAGTGGGCTTTACCACTTATTGCGATATTGTGAACGAGATCGCCATCCATTATTCTCTTGCAGCAGTGTTAAAAATTAATACAGCCAGCCCCACCCGCGTTAATAAATTATGTTTTATATGGTTATTGCTGAAAAGCGAATATGTTACTTAATCAGTATGTTGAGGTTAATTAACGTTGCTTGAAATTTATCTTATGCAGAGCTAAAATTGCGCCTGTACTTCTTTGTTTTTGGGATCTTCCTGTTTTCCAAAATCCTAGAATCCAACGAAAATGAAAGGAGGTAATCGACAACTGATTTGTCATTCGGGAGTCACGCTTTCTTCCCTTTGTGTGGTGTGATAAGATCTCACAAAGAGAAAGCTCACTTTAAAATACGGGAATGGAAGTGCACTAAAGGTCCATCTCTTAGTGTAATCACAAAAACTGCTGATTTGAAAGCATGCTTTTATTCTTATCTTTGTTAATTTCAGATGAAAGACTAGGGAACGCAAGAGAAATTTAGGGTTACAAATAGGTTGTTTTTGAAATAAATTTCACAGTTGGGGAAATAAGGGAAAATATTTCTGAGGCCTGTTTTAGATGCAAACTAGAATTTATCCAAAAGTTGAAAAGGAGCCCCTAGGCAAAGAATATGTATTGCCCTAGGAGGCCAAAGGGGTTGAAAATCGAAATAAGATCTTTGAGGTGTATAAAATAATAAAGTTGTTTAACGGCGTTTCTTCCTGAACAAAAAGATATATTACAACCTATATTTACAAAAAATAAAAAAAGGAGCCCTTACATGGTTTTTTTTTACATATTATCTAAAGCATAAAATACGACTTCAAAAATGCAACATACTTTCTCATCTGAGTCCTAATATTTCATTTTTTAATTTTTTTGGCTGTTTTGTCTCCTTTTAATATTATACTAGTTCAGTTACATAATATGATTTACACATGCAGTGTCATATTTACTAATTTTTTTATAAAATAATAATATTGAATTTAAATCAAGTTCAAAAGCTTTTTACCCATATTTTACATAAGTATGTTCAGCCGGGTTGCATCATCAAAGTGCATAAAAACATAAATGTTTTTTTTTAAATTTTAAATTTCTATCGAAATTTTAAAAGTTTTTGTCTTCAGACTTACATGACTATATTCAAGCACCTATCTCTACAGATGCACATCAAAAGTACGTAAAATTAATTTAAAAAACAAAAATTAACAATTGGCCGCTACCTGGGGGGAGGGGGGAAGTCTTAGAGGGAAGCCGGTATAAAATGTATACCGGCTCTCAAAATTTAGGATTTCGCTCTAGATTTTTTTTAAGTCTCAATTTTGTGTCCTTAGGGTTCATAAGTTATAGTTCATGCGAAATTTTACCTTAATTTAAATTATTTTATATACCGCTCCTCAAAGGGTTAATGCTGCGCTTTTTAGCCCAAAGGACGTTAGGCCAGAAGGGCTATTAATTTCGTTTTGGCATTTTGCTTTGATTTACTTTAAACGGCTAATCACTTTTTAAATTGTGCCTCCAAATATTAGAGCCCTGTATTATATTCAAAGAAATTAAATAATGAAGAATCTGCATAAATGCATGCATGTTTCTCGCATTGTGATAAAACAACGGTTCCTAGAGCCATTAAATTTTGCAAACTTACTATTCCACCCGAATATGGGCATCTGGAAGCCCAAATTTGGAATTTGTTTTATCTATTTCATAAGGCATTTATGAGTTTTTGATAAAGAAATTCAACGATTTCAAAGCGAGCAATGGCAACACTGTACGAAAAGAATTTTTTATCTCACGAGGGTGTGTATCGGAAATTCTAAAGATATGCTTTTTTAAATATTCTGTCACACTGCTGTTGAATTGAATTTTATGGTTCAAGTGCGAAGAACATGATATTTAATAAATAACGATGA